CTGCTGTTCATATGACCCTTATGCCGGAAAGTCCCTCCAACTCATAAATTAAAAACAGAAAACAACATAAAAATTAACAAATTTTAACTAAAGAAAAAAAATAAAAACAAAACTTCAAATTTACTCAAAAACGTCAACCAGCGAAATGTAATTTTTTATTTTTCCTTACACACGCTCATTTTTATTTTTACTCTCCCGAAAACTTTGACTTTTGTAGGTTTTAATGTCAATTTGGCTTCTACCTGTGTTTATTGTACCATGACTCCGATATGCAGTCGTAACAAGCGACTGTGTAGGATTAGATCTGTGCGGATGGCATCCGTCCGTCCGAAAAAAAATTCCTCCTGAACCCTACATAACCTTTGGAACAAACCTGCCGATATCCATACATGTATGGACAAAGCATGATACAATAATAAAAGGTTTGCTCAGTTTTCTCGCCCTCTCCTGACAAAATCGGGTCCCTTAGTGCGTGTGTGCAACCTCTTGCAAAAGCTAAAACAGACGGCAGCGCTGATCCGGATTAACTCGGACTTAATCTGGATCAACGCTGCCGTCTGTTTATGTTTTAAGGGAGTTAAGCGAGTGTCAAAACTCGAATGTCACTAATGAGTAAACCTTTAATTCTTAAATCAAGTGGACAAAGTATCTTCCAGACGGGTTAAAAAGAAATTTCAAATAAAACACCAGTATTAGATTTTATTCATTTTTATTAAAACATATTTTCTTATCCGACACCTAAAATAAAAGAAGATTTCGAATTAAAAGATGCGTATATAATATGGTGAATTCTAACATAATTTATACGATTCAGACAATCCTAGCCATCATTAGCGAACTTCTGGTGGAAACCGCAAAAGGAAAAGCTATATATTTTCATCATATAAAGAGTTTGTCAGACGTGGCAATGCAATATATTTGAAAAAAATGCTGCCAAATTGATAATACATATTTCAGAAAGAAGTTGCATGAGCAGTCACACCTTGCATGCAAGTGTCTTTCGAAAGGTTTTTTTTTTTACTTCAGAGGCGAATCGCAGAAAAAATTTCTGAGAGCTTTTTGGCTGTTCACACAGTGAATGAATTTCTGGTAATCTTTCTCGATAATAAAATGCAACCGTGAGCCGCTTTACCCTTTGTTTGTTATTGCTCTTGTTTATAATTAACTTTATTTCCCATTTGAATATTATTTTCTTATTTATAACTAAACAATTAAAAGCATATCTTTTTTTAATTGTACGTTATTCACGGCTATCACTGAATCCATCGTATTAAGATTTTTCGTAAAATCCACGAAAATGCAATCACTGAATCCCAAAAGCTACTTTGGATGCATTCGTTCGTAGCGATTCGGATTCAATGATCGTATTTTCGTAGATTACACGAAAATCGGACTAAGAGGGATTCAGCGGTAGCCCAGAATAATACTCTTAATTTAATTAATGGTGTGATCGATTGCCCGACCTTCACGTCAATTTCAATGTTCCTCAAAGGATTCTTGGCAATCCTATGCCTTTTAATGGAGGAAATTGTAAAACGGAGTATTCCAGAAACGCTCCTATTTTAAGAGCTTTAAATGAATTCAATACAATCTCGAATTCTATCGAACTTGATTTTTCCCTTTCAAAAAGTTTATTTATTTTCTCTTTGATCTCGAAACTGTAGAGTACTTAATGTTTTACACGTATCGTTTATGTACCATATTTTTGTATCTAGTCTAATAAATAATAATAATAATAATAAATTACAATTACAATTAAATTACAATTACTCGCGAGCACTCTATTAGGTCGGTGTTATGCAGAAATTTTGTTTGGCAAACTGCGTGCAATTGTTGTTGCAGCAAACTGGGAGAGCGAGTTTGGCGACTCTCACAGCAAACTAATTTTGTTTGGTCAAACTGCAGCAAATTCGGCGTTGTCATATACAAAAATTTTAGACAATTGTTGCTATACACAAAATTATCATTTCGTGCTGGCAATAGCCATGAAAACCATAATGAACGTGCAAGCCTGTGCCAAACTCGACATAACCACCTCGGAGCAAACTAAGCAGCCGCCATTTAATTTGGCAAACAAAATTTGTCTGAATAAGACCGACCTTAGTTTAACAGAACTTGCAGCATAAATAAAAATTGCCACTGCAGCACGAGCAAGCTGAAATATCGTCGCTTGGAGTGCAATAACCTCGTATACACAAAATGCAATACCACGTATGCCACAGTCCGAAAATTTCAAAAAAGTGCAAATAAACTTATTTTTTCTAAACTTTTGAATGGTTTTCTAACTGAACTTATTAAATAGGAGCTTTTACTAAAATTATTGACTTTTAAATTTCTGAAGTAGGCAAGCACTGGGACAGGGTCTACGTAACCGGAACGACCCATATTTATATCTGGCCAAGGACTGTCACTCCAGCAGCGCTCCCCAAAAAGTCTTTGGAGAATTTGTATGCTGCTACAACAACAGGGTGCCGAAAACAAATTTTTTTCGCTCTCATACGTGGTATTGCATTTGGCAGATACAAGGTATTGCGCGCCAAGCGCCGATATATTCCCGAATCGATTTGCGCTCTTTCAGTTGCACTCACGCCATACAACTCTAATTTCTGAAACTGGTTTCCGAAAAGTGGCAGAACGGTCTTTCTGGCTGTTCACATGGAAATAAAAACTCCCTGTTAGGAATTCGTACGATACACTATTAACGCTTGCATTCTGTTATTATCAAATAGGTACTACGTTTATGCGGCGGAATTCACGAATTCTTCATTTCATGAATTCAAAAATTGTTCCGTTTATGCATAACTCGCGAATACATGAAATGAAGTGTTTTGAAAAAGTTTTTTGAATTTGCAAATGCGTTGATACCAAGAAATGGTCCATGTTATATCTAAATTTGTTTTAGTGCATTTGAATTTCTTCTATTTGAATTTCTTTAATATTACAACAAATGCACGTAACTTTTCCAGTGCCATAAGTCATGGTTATGCCACTACAAGCTTTTGATCTAAAAACTTCATAACCCTAGTAAGCAGCTGTTTGCTTGTTAAACGTGGCCTTGCCAATTCATGACTAATTTTCGTGTATAGTTGATTTCATTATATTGTGTTTATGCAGCCAATTTCAGCCCAAAGTCATGAAATGATTTCGTGAATTTGCCTACGCAAAAACGTAGTATATTATTAAGATTGGCGTCATAAACACCATTTATAGACCAAACCATGAACTCGGCATCATTTAATGAAATCGTGTAGTGCACGTCCGGCAACGCCACGTTTCACAAACAGCCCGTCGCCTGGGTAAAAGACTGTCGTATGTTAATTTCGGCAGGTTGTGGGAAATTGCGATTGAAGTTTGGAACACAATTTCTCACAAACGCGAAGATAGATGATTTTCTCCAAAGTCTCTCAAAACGTTACTAGTTACCATAATTCTTAAGTTATGTAATTTTTAATGTTTATTGTTAATTAGTTTGAGTTTATGAAGGATTTTCCTTAGTAAAATTTGCGCTTACGACAAACTTTTACCTAGGCGACGAGCTGTTTACTAGGGTTATGATGGTTATAATTAAAAAGCAAGAGTGAAATAACCAGGATTTAATACACTGGACAAGTTATTTGGAATCGTTCAAATATAAAATAAATTCAAATAGAATAACGATGGCTGAGTGGAAGATCGACCTATCTCGGCAGCCAGTTCGAAAACGCTCTATCTCAAAAAACTTTTCAAGAACGCCCTATTTCAGATTTCGTTTCAAAAACGCCCTATCTCAGCTGCTGATTCAAAAACGCCCTATATCAGTATATTTTGAATACATTTTGAAGTGAGATAGGGCATTTTTGAACCGAATTTTGAGATAGGGTGTTTTTCAATTAAATTCTGAAATAGGGCGTTCTTGAAAAGTTTTTTGAGATAGAGCGCTTTCGAACTGGCTGCCGAGATAGGTCGATCTTCCACTCAGCCATCGATAAATTGAAAATATATTATAACCAATTTAAATATAATATGGTTTATTGCTTGGTACCAACGGCTTTTGCAAATTCAAAAGGAGGCCAAAAAAGTCACAACCCTTTATTTTCCCACCAGTGCATTGCCACTTTTTCAAAGCACTTTATTTGATGAATTCGCGAACTATGCATAAAAGGGGCCATTTTTGAATTCCTGATATGAAGAATTCATGGATTCTGTCGCATAATAAACGTAGTATATTACGAATCGATGTTGTATGAAATCTGATAGCGAGCTGATTTGTGCTGGTTCACAATAGCTCTGATCCAGTACTCCATGAACTTACAGGTTTTTACACGAACTTGCAGGAAGTTACAGGAAAAATGATCCCGTACTCCAAAATCATGCAAATGAGAGCGATTTTTGGAGTTGTGTAGAGAATGAAGTTGCAAGATTTTACCCGAACTTTATCTTCTGTTAAAATCGTGAAAAGTGTCAAGCTATCACTGGTTGACGTTTTCTCAGGAAAAATGCATATTTTGTTCCCCTACTTTTTGTTGTTACTCACTTTATACTCTCACTTCAGAGAGTAATTTTGCTGTTTGAAATTTTTACAAGATTTTACACGAAAAGTATTGGATCAAAGCTAATAAAAACTGGACGAAAACCTCAGCCATTTACAATACATCTGTCGGGCGCATGAAAATGACAATACGAGAACTGATTTTATACGATACGATTGCAAGCGTTTATCGTCTACCGTATGATAATAGGGGTGAAGGAAATATTATTTCTCATTTTGACAGCGGATTGCGTTTAAGTTGGAAATATTGCCACGTTTAACACACTGGTAAGAGTGGGTTGCAAAAATACACACCTTGGTTACGTCAGCTTTCTACGTCTTGGGACTGGAAAGGCATACGGGTCAAAACCCTTGGAAGCAGGATTGGATGTTCGAATTTCTTTTTACCGCATCAGAAACACAATTATCTAGGAGTATAAAATGTTATTAATTGGGGTTTTCACCTTTAAATGTCAATTAAATTTATGCTAAGTATCAGTCGTCCTAGCCGTCATTAGAAAACTTCCGGTGGAAACCGCAAAAGGAAATGCTACATTTTCTCATCATATATGTAAATTAAAATCTTTAAAATTATATTTTATCAGTTACCTCCAATATTCATATCATGCGTAATGCCCACCAGGCTTTTTATCTGCTTTCTATAAAACAGCAACAGGTTAAATTTTGGAAAACCATACGTGTCAAAGCCATTAGATATATCACTGGATGTTTACATTCCTTTTGATCGCAAAACAAACCATGTTATCTGCGAAAAGAAAAAAATTATGAAGTATGGTTCACCTTTAAATTTAAAGTACATTTAAACTAAGTATCAGACGTCCTAACCGTCATTAGAAAACTTCCGGTGGAAACCGCAAAAGGAAATGCTACATATTCTCATCATATATGTAAATTAAAATCTTTAAAATTATATTTTATCAGTTACCTCCAATATTCATATCATGCGTAATGCCCACCAGGCGTTTTATCTGCTTTCTATAAAACAGCAACAGGTTAAATTTTGGAAAACCATACGTGTCAAAGCCATTAGATATATCACTGGATGTTTACATTCCTTTTGATCGCAAAACAAACCATGTTATCTGCGAAAAGAAAAAAATTATGAAGTATGGTTCACCTTTAAATTTAAAGTACATTTAAACTAAGTATCAGACGTCCTAACCGTCATTAGAAAACTTCCGGTGGAAACCGCAAAAGGAAATGCTACGTATTCTCATCATATAAATAAACAGGCCTATTATGGATTCGACGGGGAATGCTATTATCAATTACGACGTCATCACGAAATTCTCCCGCAAATTTCGAAAATCGGGAGATTGGCATTATTAATTCCGAGTGAAACGCAATTTTGACAGTTATTCGTGAAAATATTTTACGAACGCTTTTGTCTATGGAAAGCAAAAATAAAATAAGGGTGCGTCCAGAAATGCATCAAGCCAAAGCATGCCTCTTTTATTTCTAAACTATAATTGATAGAAATGTCAAATATGAGCAACCACGGTTATAAGCCGAATTAAAACTATGTTGCGTAAATAAGACATTTCCATAAATTATAGTTTAGAAATAAAAGATACTGATGCTTTGGCTTGATGCATTTCTGAAAGCACCCTAACTAAGACCAACCAAATCATATAAAAAACAAAAAGCCAAATAAGAAACCAATTGCATATTTTACATTGAAGGAAATAAAAATTTAAGAAAGGTTGATTAATGGTAGTTGTGCACAAATTAAAATATATTTTTCAACAGATCAACGCCATCCACAAAACGAATCTTTTGCTATAACTCAAGCAGGAATTTTTGAAGGAATGCGCCTGCATAAAAGGGTAGAGTTAAACCGATATGAAATTGATAGAATATGATATGTTGAATCGTCCTGAAGGAGATGAGTCCGTGATATTTGTTCATTTATGTATACATGAAAATTAATTACGTCTAAGTTGATATTTTCCTTTACTAATGCAACATTGAAATGAATTTAAATTTAAACGAGTTGTTTATAGAACTAGAAAATAAATTTTCGCGCAAGTTCTGCAATTCACTTCCGAGTGAATTTCAACTCCTGCCTATTTGAATTCAAAGAGAACTTGACTCAAATTCACTCGGAAGTGAATTGCAGAGCCTGCCTGATTAGTCGACATCACGAGTTTCATTTTCCCCGAAGTGGTTCACTTTTCACTTTTGGTTCCCATGTACATATTTACTATGCACGGATGAAAAATTTTCGGGCGCGATTCAGGATAAGGCAGATTATCACCCCTATTACGGGTGTCGACTAGTAGTAGATAAACAACTGTTAGGGCCGTTTTCTCAGCTAACCTTTAGATTACCGGCCACTTTATCGTCTCGATATAAGAGTTTTCGTTTTCTCATCTGCGCATTAACTTCTCGAATCGATAAATTGTTGCTCACCCGATGCAACCTTTAAAATTTGTACCCAACTTTAAATTTTGGTTTGGTTTTGGTTCATGAGCCAAGATATATGATATTTTTCAACCAAGGTTTCGGTTTTTGCTAACTGGCCGTCTCCACAGGATAAAATTTATTGCTGCCCAGCTGTCATTTTGGTCGCTAGATATAAGTTATATCAGTGGCAATATTTGTGTGGGCTTTTTAGCATTTGTAAGATAGCTTCAAAAACGTATTTTTGCCGGATTTAATCGCTTAAAAAATTTAGAAAATAGGCTATTTTACATTCAAATACATAATTACAAATATTTTAACAGGAAACAGCTCAATTTTTGCTTTTATATTAAAATAATAATGATGTTGCAGCCACGAAGTTTTCGTGCAAATAAAAATGTAGCTGTAAAACTACCAAATTGCCGGCAATAGATGGCAAGATATAAGCTCTGATATATATTGCTCTCGAAGAGCAATGAGCGGTCTCCATTGGCAAATTATATTCTGACATTTGTATCAAGATATAAACTTTATCCTGTGGAGACGGGCAGTAATAGTTGCTCTTGCTCTATTTGCTTAAGTTGCACTGCCAACCTTTGAAATTTTTTGACGAATGTAGTGCAGCTTCGCTCTGGGAAATGAAGTGAAGTTTCACTCTACGGAATAACATTTTTATTTTTAACGGTAAGATAAGAAAACGAAAACACCTTAAAGTCAGGGACAATTGATTTGGCCTGCTAGTAAAGGCAACTTTACTGTTGCTCTTAGTCGATTACCCGTGGTATTTTCAAAGTCGTTTTCTCGTTCAATTAGTGCGTGTTAATAGTTTATAGTGGCTCATCCTTCTACAAACAGTTATAGAAAGATGAGCGATAATCGAATGAGTCGTTTATCTACTACTAGTCGACACTCGCAATAGGTGAGTAATTGAATATCTGCATTTTTTTCAACAACTGATGCCTTATCGTCAAAACTGAAAGGTTGGCGAACACCCCGGAAATTCTTCTGAAATATTTTTAAACACCTTTACTTTTTTTCTACTAATAACGTTTATGTCGCAATGGAAACCACTATTACTATTTAAATACTTAATTGTAAACTTTGCCGGAGGAAAAATCTAGTTTCTGTCAATTGCTACCTACCAAATAAGCACAAATCAGCTGAATTCCATTTAAACAGATTCGAACTTAGTGCGCATATATAGAAAAACTATCTACGAAAACGTCGGAATTGCGAATAGCATTTTTCCCGAATTAGTGACGTGAGATCCGTTCACGACGGGAGTTCGTTCGTAATACAGAATAGGGCTGTAAAACATAGTGAAAATTAGATTCTACCGATTACCTTCAATAATCATGTTTGCGCAATGCCCTCCAAATGTTTCATCAGCATTCTATAATACAGAAATAGGTTAAATTATGGAAATAATACCCATTTAAACTTTCAATAAAAATGACATCAGGCCTGTTGAGCTTGAAATGTTATATAATCGTCAAAAAGGCTTCAGAAGCACAATTTCATCATAGAAAAGATATGAAATTTATTTAAATATAGAAATACTTACTATTTTGCCTGGTACGGTCAGACGGTACACTTTCACTTAAGTCAGCATGATGAAACCTTCAATACCAAAAAATATCTTGTTATACTACTAATTCCAATCGTACCATAATTATAGAAAAGTTTTAATATCTCAGGAGAATAAAGTGTCTATCAAGATTTACATCAGAACAGGTCTGTGTAAGCTTCATCACGAAATATGGGCATTTAAGCAAATATTAGTAGTAGCAAACTTACCGATATCATTTCCCGTCTCAATTTTCTCTCCGACTATGTACACATATATATGTATGTACGTAGTTGGACATTCTATACAGCCATTTACTTTCAAGGGACCTCATTATAATTGAAGCTGCACCGACTTTTGTTTCCTAAAAGCATCATCAATGATGGTTAAACATTACATTACCAATGAAAAAAAATATAAAAAAATAAGTTCTACATTTTCTTCAGCTTTGCCGATTAATCTTCTGTCAAGTATTTAGTTTCAAAGTCCAGTGAAAAATACATTGGAGTATGAGATAAAATACCAGACTCAGTCTCGTCATCCGGTATCATCATTAAAAATGTACATTCTTCATATCATGTCTTTTAATTATATTGTTTATATGATAATTACCATTTATATAACTCACTGCGCTCCCACTAATAAACATTAAAAAAAAACATGTGCACGCGTTGAGGACCACCAAGTGAAAGACGGATGCCGCGACATGTTCGAAACAGGATATCTTGGTTGGAACAAACGAGTGAAAAATAACGAGTAGAGATTGCAGTCTTTCATCGAGTAATTACCATACCACTATTAACAATGGTCCTCCAGGCCCCAGATTATACATGGACAACTTTAATTTCATATTCTATGCTTTTCTATCCGCATCTGGCAGTCTATTCCATCTAATAAGGCGATGCTAGATAAAACTTTTGCTTCGCGTTGCGTAACAGATCCGCTTTGGCAGATGTCGTGAAATGTGTGAAAATGCACAAAGCATTTCACACAGATTGTTTCAGCTGCAGCGCGAAGCGAAAATTTGGCCAACTCCCATCTTTTTGCGCGGATTGACAATCAGCCGGTTTAATATTTATTTTTGTTAATTAGATAGATACATACATAACCCGAAAATACGACTCTGCGTTCAACCGAAGAAAATGAATTCAAAAATTCAGTTGAGCGTGGAAAAGGCACTAATTTGGTAACGCGCACTTGTATGCTCATTTTGTTATTAGTGAAACTAAAACTCAACTAAATTACAAGCATCATACATATATTGTAAGGCAATACTTATCGCTCAACGAGCTAGTGAAATAAACATTCATATAGCCACGAAGGCTAGTTAAAATATGTGTTTTATTTCGATATTTCGCTAGTTTTTCCGACATTAAAGTTTACCAAATTGCTTTACCGTGCCGGTTAAATTTATTTATTTATTTATTATAGTCTATGAACAATAAATTCGGGAAATGTTTAGTAGCGCTCACACCGTTTTTGGGGTGGGGGCGGGAGGGGGAGGGGTGGCCCCCCAAATCCCCCCAATAGAAAGGAGACAGTCGCCGCTTTCTAAAAAGGGGTACCTCCCCCTTGGACTCCTCCCACAGGCACCTAGGGAACCGTTTGAAAAAGGGAGAAAAACGAAATTTTCTTAGGCAAACTGAGCAGTTTGAAGTGGAATATGACCCAACTAACAGAAACCGTGGGATTTTTTAATAAAAGAAATTATGCCAAATTAGATATGGGGGGATTTTGAATAAAGAATAAAAAGTTAATTAAAAATAGAAAAAAAAAGTTTTTATAAAAAAAAATTTTCTTTTTAACAAATGTATTTTTGCGTAGAATTCCTTTCTACGTAAGCGGCCTTCGGCCGCACTTAGGGATTATAACCCTCAGGCAGTAGAATTCTCCTTTCTGTTTTGCGAAGAAAAGGAGCTGAACACCTTTTGCAGAGAACACCTTTGTATATTTTTAATGCTTACTGGGTTATATCCTATCTTCTTTTGTCTCTCATTCTTTTGCATATTTTGGAGTTTGACAGCTGAACTCCGCCATTTAATTTGCATATGCAACCAAAGTCAGACGCGTGATTTTGAAGGTGTTTTTATTTAATGAATTGTGATGAATTGGTTAATATTAAAGTCGTAAAGCAAGTTATAACAAATCAAGTAAAGTGTAAAGTGAAGGGGAATACAAAAATATATTGGTGAAGTGGCTAATTTAAGCAGAATAGGAGTGATAAATGTACGCTAATTTCCGAATTTTACAAAAAAGGGCATATTTCAAACCCAATTTGTAAATAAATTAGTAACCAAAATTTACAAAAGTGAGTGTTAAAATATTGCGTGGACCCTTGACTACAAGTGTGTGAAATTTTTTTTGGATCGGGCCACCCATTTGGACGGAATAGCCCGAAATAGTTGTGAGCGGTACTAAACCCCACCCATAAATTCTTACAGACTATAGGAAGGTTAAAAAAAAGTATTTAATTTAGCTACTTAAATTAGGTAATTGAGTTTAAAAAGTTCACAAATAATGACTTTGGTAGCGAAAAATCTATATCGATAGAATTAGAGATTATATTGAACTCATTAGCAGCTCGGCAGAGGGGCGCATTCCGTGCGTAATTCGTTCTACAATTACTACAATAAAACGTATGGCAGAACCGAAGTGATCTTTGCGGAACATTAAAATGAATACGTTCTAAGGGCCCTTTGCACCATGTCTAGTATATTCTAACTCCCAGTTAAACATCTTTATCGACGTTATCGACACCCATCATATAACATGTGATCGATAAAGCAGTTAACGTGCTTAACTGAAGGATGTACCTCCAGTTAGCGTTAACTAGACATGGTGCAAACGGCCCTAAGAGGTAAAGACAGTCAACAGTTTCTTGAATGATGCTGAACACAAAAGTTAGGGAAAGGACAGACCTCCTTTTTTCCAAAGAATTTAAACTAATCAGCAATGGGCGATCACTATATGAAGGAATCGGGTCTAAGAAACGTAAAGAGCGTAAAGTATATTTAAGGAACACCTTTTGAACGCGCTCGATCCTGTCAATCTTAATTTGATGGGACGGACGCCAGATAAAAGCAGCATACTCGAGATGGAAGCACACGAACGCGGTATATAACCGTTTTAAGGTATATGGATTAGAGAACTCCGCACTATTCCTCCTGACGAAGCTGAGCATAGCATATGATTTAGAAATTACGAAATCGATGTGGTCATTAAAGGGGAGCTTGGTGTCAAATATAACACCAAGGTCCTTTATTTCTCTGATAAGCTGCAGCGTGCTGCATGAGATACGATACGAGGTAACAAACACATTTGGGGACTTATAAAAAGTTACATGAAAACATTTATTGACATTAATGCCCGTATGATACTACGTTTTTTTCTTGTATTTCGAGTGTATTTTACGCTGTATTTTGAAAGAAAGAGAAGGTCACATACAATTTCAGTACTTGTGTAAGCGAGTAAGCTATATACCAAAAAACAAACGAAAAACTAACGAAAAACAAACTAGGTTGTTAAAAACAGTCCGGCCAACTTGTATTTCGTTAGGTTTTTTTGGCAGATGGCTGTATTTCGTTAGTTTTTTTACACAGCTGTTTGCATTTTGACATACGAGAGATTTTCTAAGCATACAATGGAAATACAAGTTTTATCTATTGCAACAAATTGTTTGCTAAACGCTGCTGCCTTAATACAGCGTAGGAAAAAGAAAAAGACTAAAAAAAAATATTCTGCGCAATCGCTTTTAAAAAGAGAACTGGAAGGTAAGTTTCAAATTCCACATTATATACACATGTATATAGTTCGTTTTTGTAATTATCAAAAATACTTTTCATAGGATTTAGCCATAAACTGTTAAAGGAAATTGAGTGCGAGGATTCAATCCTTCACAAAAATATCTTAAGAATGACTCCAGCTCAGTTTGCATTCTTATTAGAAAAAGTACGCCCCTATATTAGCAAGCAGGATACAAAATTCAGGAACTGCATAGGAGCTGCGGAACGGCTGCAGCTGACATTGCGATATCTATCCACTGGTAAGATATAATATTTTCTTGGTAATTTTTAGTACCGACATACATATGTATGTACATATTTCCAAAATTAGGTGAAACCCAAAGGTCACTTCAATTGCCGTTCCGAATTCAGCAGTCAACCATTTCCAGAATTTTAAAGGAATCAATTCCCGCAATATATTTGGCGTTAAGGGAGGAGTATTTGAAATTCCCTGCAAGTGAGCAAGATTGGCGTGATATTGCAAAAGACTTTTATCAGATGTGGGGATTCCCGAACTGCATCGGCGCTTTAGATGGTAAACTAACAATTAACACTTTTAAATTCACTCAACTGATGAAACGTCTCAGGAAAGCATTGCAGAATACTGCCAGTGAGGAAAGCAGGATCTACGTATTTCAATTACAAAGGATACCATTCATTTGTATTGATGGCAATCGCTGATGCCCACTATCGTTTTATTTATGCTGATGTCGGTGTTAATGGGAGAGTGGGTGATGCTGGAATTTGGTTGAACTCGGACCTGAAATACGCTATTGAAAAAAATGAAGTACATATACCAGCCCCATGCACGCTCCCTTTCATGTCAACTCCCTCGCCTTTTGTGCTTTTAGCCGATGATGCCTTTGCTCTAAAAGACTACTTAATGAAACCTTACTCTCATCTAAGACTATCACCAAGCGAACTTAAATACAACAACATACTTTCGAGGAACAGGCGCGTTGTTGAAAATGCTTTTGGCATTCTTGCGAACCGTTTTCGAGTTTTATTTTCACCCATCCATCGCGCTCCAGCTGCAGCCATTCAGATTGTATTATCTTGCGTATGTGTGCACAACTTTTTAAGAACAGAAAATGTGAAAAAGAAAACTACGTTTGACGCCATTTCCGAAAGTGAAATAGATGCAATAATAGATAACAACTATACAACAACCGCTTCTGAAAGAAATGCGTCAAAAAGGAGCGCTGAAGAAATAAGAAAAACTTTCGAAAACTATTTTTCTGATGTAAATTAAAATATCGTTTCATTGTTTAAATAAACCAAAACTTTTCGTGTTGGAATCGTAAGTATTGGATCGTAAGTATCTTCTTCTTCCTGCCCGAAATAGCCCGGACTTTTTCTCCGGGTAAAAATGGATAAAGTGTCAAAGTGCATATAAGCTGTTTTGTGTTTACATGTTGCCTGCATCAACTTGGTGCTTTTAAGGAATAAGGAATGTATTTTCAATCTTTATATACTTAAAATCAAATTTGTGAAACAAAAATTCAATTTCCAAGAGTTTGCATTTAAGTTTTTGCGTTCCCGTACTTCTAGATTATGTTCCATTTTTGAGAGCAAAATTTTCACTTATTCTATAAATACCGGATCCGGTCCGGATTGTTAAGCAGTGTTTGCATTGCTCAACTATGCGTTCAACATTTGCGTTCAACTCAAAGCAGGGTTGCACAAAAAAAAGTTGAATGGCTAAATGTTGGCTGGCGACCAACTTTGTTGAAAGCAATTACATAGTTGGAAGGCCATTCAACCAAAAGTTGGATGCAAAGTTGAACAATGCACCATTTTATGGCGCATATTTTGATATTGTTTCATATTTTTTATATTTTTAGCCATTCATCTTTTTTTCGTGCAACCCTGCGCTGAGTTGAACGCAAATGTTGAACGCAAAGTTGAACAATGCAAACACACTTTTAGGGAAAGAACC